ACGTAAGCGAATAAGATTTAAAAATTTCTACTTTAGTTATTATTTACTCGCGCCCAGTGTTAGTATCTCTGAGGGGGATACTTACACGGAAGTTAATATTGTTGAGCATTAGTTTTAGGCATTGCATTCAATTTTTATGTTTTCTTGTAATTTAGCTGCTTATCTAATATTTATTTGGACTGGACTGCTCGCATTGTAGCTACTTTACATATACTGCTAGCATCTGGAAGGACAAAATCCGCCAGAAAGACGTCAATTAATCACCCTCTGTGAATACAGCTAGCTCTCCCATAATCCTTTACACAGATCCCAGCAACTGTCTGCGCGCATTCAAAATAGCAATAAATTTGGTGACATAGAAGCTAACAACTGCTGACCTTAGGGCCGTGACAAATATCGCTATGCGCCTGTTGAATATTCGGATAACCCTTACAACACTTGCTTTACGGCGCATCTAGCTGTTTTCCGACGCTGAGAAACTGTGCATCGACAGTGACAACTGCGATCAGCACCTCATTCATCGACAAGCTCAATTATATTTGCGACCATACAATGCGATAAGGCGTAGTCAGCAAACTGAGGGTTTTGACTGTCGAAAAAATAGTTTTTTTTCTTTAGAAACAGGCAAACAATTTTTCTCGTTGTTATGTAAGACAATTTTTTTCTTCTTTCAACAGTCCGTATTTTAGTGTGTGCTAGAATATATTCTTCCAGATCAAAATTTTAAGTTCCACTGATCCTATTATTCTTTTCGAACTTGGAAGTAATTTTCACCTAATAAAAAACAATCCAAATCAGGAAAACCTTAAGCACAATTCCAAAAATCAACCATTTTTTTAGCCAAAACTTCGCTATTTTTTACACTTTTGTCACCGATAGGTCTCGTATAGATCTATAGCAAACTTCGTAGAATAGTCATAGAAAAGGAAACTTTCTTCATGTTGTGACAGAACATGATGCTAAGTAAAGGAGATTGAAGAACGTAAATGTTTACTAGTTTCCTTAGTTGAACGAACATTTTCGAATCTTTGGACAATTCCGACCCGAAAGGAAGTCGCTTATTTGCTCGAAAAGCGCTTTTACAGATATGAGTTTTTGCTGTGTTAGAGTTGAATTATCCCTCTAACAAAGATACGAGTGTAATGAAAAAAAAGGACATTGAGATGCTCGTACCTCTGAAACATCGCTGTTAGAGCATGTTTCATGACCCCTTCCCGTCTTAGGACCCCCTCTATCCATATGGATACAATTAGATGGAGCGTTTTCCCACAGGTCAGTTCGAACACTTGTTGGAAAAATCAAATCTTTTCGCCCATCACAAGACTTGAAGCGGTAGATTATTTTCATTGTGACCCTCTACGGTGAGAACCAGTTTTCCTAAACTGCATCGCTAATCGTAATCATCTGAATTAATTACTGCATGTTTTTTCGTGGTGCATCACTGTTTATGATGCTGTCTACCTCAATCATAAGGGACAATTAGTCAGTGATTTTATAGCAACCAGAAGAAATCCCGCAACCACACATTTGTGTACAGCGGAACAATCTATCTATATATATATATATAAAACTCAAAAATTGTCAGTTTGGAGGGTATGTGCGTTATAGAAACGCGCGCCGCTCAACCGATTAAGCTGAAACTTTACACACATATGTTTTCGAGCCTTGCGCAGATGATAGGCTACTTTTTGCAGCGATTCGTTGGGTCCTTCTATCGATTTATTGATTTGCAGCACTTTGCAATAAAAATGATTCTTATCACTTGCTATCAAAACAGGGGTATGTAAACAAGGCTGGCATGTCTCATTGTGAACTTCTGTTGACGAAGTGCAGTGAAAAGTGTTCTTGATATGAGTCTCAATTGCTCTTTTAAATGGATGCACTAAATGTATCTTATGCGGAAACCTTAGCGTGCAAGAGACCATGAGTGCTTTGTAGCGAGTGTTTTGTATGGAAGCGTGCTCAATTTACGCTTATAATCAATGCTTTCTTCGTTACATGCTCAATTTAAACAATGAGGGGTCAAAATTTTTCATGAGATTGCGCACAAATTATTTGTCAATACCAGAAATAATGTCAAGACAAGCGACAACTCACATTCGCTATAGTTGATCCCTGGGACCAGGAAAGTGCGCGAGTGCAAAGTACTGCCGACTCCACAAAAATTGACGGCAAGCAGTGAATGAAGATGAAGTAGCCGGTTAACGGCAAAGTGTCACAAAAAATGATCCTCATAATAACAATGAGCGCTGCTATCAATTAACTCGCGCTGCTTGCTTAGGTTTTGCGTGTTGAACTTGATTTGGAGAAAGAGAGGTATGCTACCGACTAATAAGTGTTCACATTTTGTTTTTGTTCTTTACACAGTTTCTACAATGCCACCGAATACCTTATCTTCATTCCCGATCACTGATCATTCCCGGGCTGGACCGGGCAGATCAGCTAGTATATATATAAAACTCAAAAATTGTCAGTTTGGAGGGTATGTGCGTTATAGAAATGCGCGCAGCTCAACCAATTCAGCTGAAACTTTGCACACATATGTTTTCGACCCCTGCGCAGATGATAGGCTACTTTTTGCGGCGATTCGTTTGGTCCTTCTATCGATTTATTGATTTGTTTACGTTTTTCTAAGGAATTGAAGGCTTATCATGTTCAGTCAAGCATTTTCCCATAATCTGTAAAAGAGGGCGGTGAAGCTCATTTTAACCTCATTATCACGAGGATGCGGTTTGAAGCGGATGTCCCTAGGGTAAGTCATCCATAACATATAAGGGGGGGGGCTTGCAGTGCAAGTGAACGGAACAAGGCCCGGGCTGGACCGGGAAAGCCAACTAGTAAAAAATAAAGCGGTTATTCGTCTTTTGAGCTAAGGTTCATGCGCACACACAATAGACCAATTTGCAATATTTTCATGGTACATCACAAGAGCAAATGCCCCGCAAATAAACGCAGCGGTAGAGGAGATATGATTTTTCTAAAAAGAATGGCTCTGGCAGGTTATCTCAAACTCAATATTTCTGGTGAATCATGAATCTGGCTGCTCCAGATAGGAAACAAAGTTTGAGGATGAAACCCAAATGTACTTATTGTACTTATTGTACTCCTAAATCCTGGGCCCGTAGTAATCCCCCCGTCGTGAGGGTCGCGACGTTCGAAACATCGCACGTACCCAGCACGTGTCGTTTCTGCCGCGTTTCGTCGCGCGCCTATCTCTTATCACAGCCGCGCGGCGAAATCGCGCGACGTCGTGACTGCAGGACGTGCTTGTCCTCGCGCGCAGAGGACGAGCACGTCGTGAACGTTGTCACTTAAGGGGAGAGATATAAAAATAGTGGGCCCAGCGTGGAGACGCAGGAAGGCGCAACTGGCTAGGGGTCGAGTACGCCGAGCTCGCGACCTTGTGCACGGACCGTAGATACACAGCACTAGGTATAAGGCACGCCTGATACAATCGATATCAACAGCTGATAAGCGCAATCGGCGACGCGCCTGGCCGCAATTTATTCTTCTATGCTGTTATTCTGCTGTATTTTGCTTTCACCAAAAAATGTGAGTTCGTTTTTGTTATCGTACATGCCAAAATCTTGCTCAGCGAACTTGTGTGGTTTTTGAATGCCTTTTATCAATATAGCTTTCTCGCTGGTTGCTGGTGTTCGACTTTTGATGATCGGTTGTGTATCATCAAAAAAGAGGCTTTACTTCAAGCACATGATGATGTTTTTCTAAGACTGATAAGCTTTCTAGTGGTTTAAAATCCACAAAATTGGAATGCACCCTATAATTTATTAGAAGGGGCAGAATTATGGGTTTCGCGTTAAGGCCTAATTGCCAATGGCCACTTAACTTGGTTATCCTCCGAATATCAAAAAAAAAGTTTGGTTCTGCTGCAATGGTAAATCTTTTGCAATATACTGCTTTTTTCTTGACCTAACTTGACGCTACTTCCTCAACAAAAAAATACTTATTCCTGAATGACAATTTTTGACCATTCGGTTTGTACATAGCTTTTTTCTCATTAAAAGGATGTGAAATGGAATATGTTCCGAAGCCAGAGTTTGCAAAAAGAGGCTGTGCTATCCAAATTTTAACATATTGAGGACGTACTACATAAGTTGGGATATGCAACCACTGTCCACTAGGTCACTATGTACAAGAAGAGCCGTTTCGATAAGCGACTCCCTCAAAATTTGCGCGTCAAACGGGTCCACTTTTGGCTCGCGAAACTAAGTCGCCAATGCGACTTTTTGCAAAGTCATGATTTGTCTGACAAATAAATTTGCGCCTTATAAATTATAGCCCAAAATTGCTCAAAAAGTTTGCTTTCTTGCGAAACAGCGCCAAAAAGTGGTGATCGCGTGACTAGTCGATTTGGCAAGGCGTTACCTTGAAAATGAAAAGATTTTTGCAAGGAAATGTAGACCAAGGTGACTATCGTCCTTATGACGATTACCAAACTAAGATGAATCCAGTAATCCGTTCGAGTTCGCAATTGCTCCTTTGCAAAAAAAAGTTGTCTTTCTCAAAATTACTGACCCTACATGGAGATGCTTCGAAATTGAACGTTGCTTACAATTCATTGGTGATGTTCAGCATCGCACGATGAGTTTCAAAGTCATATTATGCGAGCACGAGAAAGGCATACGGATAGCAGAGCCAGTGCGAACCTCCGCGAAGCGGAGGTGACGCATGGTAACCATATAGTTTGACACTGACTATCAAACTCACTCATAGCGCAATGCAGCGCAGTACTGGTTGTTCGGTCTTTACCGGCCTGGCAAGGCTGAAGTCAGGCTTTCAATATCTATTCTGCCATTCTATCATATAACTAAACTAAATCTATTGCCATTCAGGACGTTTAGGCGGGCAGTTCTTAAAGTCTCGATCTTTCATGAAGCCTTAATGAAGGCGGACGGACCGCCGGGACGTTGGCTTATCGCATAATGAAGTCTTGCTGCCAACCTTGGTCGACAGCTTATAAACTGTATTACAACTTGAATCACAATGCCAAAGTTTATCGACAATCGAGCACGAAGTGTCAATGTCCCGTTCTAAGTTTAAGTTTGTCTTGTCTAGATTTTAACCACTTCCGGATATCTTCTTCACTGAGTGGACGGCATACGTGGCCACGGGTTATACGGGCTTCAGCAACCACAGCAGAGAAAACCTGTAAGGAGTAAAGTACTGCACAGTAAGGCCCGTAGGCACGTACATCCCCGCGGGGAGGGGAGGGGATCTGAGAGGGGAAGCGTCATATTTCGTTACTCTGTATACCTTTCTTCTTCCTTCTTTTTCTGTGATATGAAGGTTTTCATACCCTAATACCTACGCATAATGGATGCCAGGTTACTGGCATGATTGATTAGATTTTCACCAGTTTGAATGATCCCCTGGGGATCCCCAGGGGATCACCTCTCATTTTCGAGGTCATTTATCTTACTGAAAGCTCCATGAAATTGCCGTAAAGTTGTACTGAGGATATACTACGGCACTGCTAAGCATGTTTTTGACAGAAGAAATAGAATTTGAAGATTATCAATTTTTCGATAATGGCTGGCTGGCTCGCGAGCATCGGTTCGTCGAAAATTTCGATATCCTGAGATTTCCCTTATTTCTACTATAAACATGTTTAGCAGGACCATATTATACCCTCAGCAGAAATTTAGAACATTTTCAATGAATTTGTGGGAAAATAAATGACTATGAAAATGAGAGGTGATCCCCTGAATCCCCAGGGGATCACACAAATTTGTGAAAATCTAATCTTGTACGGCGATAACCTAGCATCCATTATGCGCCGGTGTTAGGGTATGAGAACCTTCATATCACAGATGAAGAAGGAAGACGAAAGATATACAGAGTAGCGAAATATGACGCCTCCCCTCTCAGATCCCCTCCCCTCCCCGCGGGGATGTACGTGCATACGGGCCTAAGCCTAAGGTGTAAAATCGCAAACTAAGTCATGTCTTGCTTGGTCAACGTACCACTAATATGGTGAGTAACAAGAAGATATGATTGAAAATTTTCATTCTGGTCGAACTGACATAAACTCTCTGAAAAAAAATATCCTGAGAGAGCAAGCGGTGCATAGAGCGGTTGATAAAACGACGAACAAACGAAACTTTTTTGACGCAACTTGACAGAAAAACAAAGATGAGTGCAAGGAAAATTACAATAACCTTGATTTCTCTGCTATGTAATCTCCTAGGCATTTGTAAGAGACAATGTCGCAGATTATGTGAAAAATGAAACGTCATAAAGTTTGCACAATATACACAACTCTGTCTTCATTAAAGCTTGCTATTCCACGATATACGTGTATGTGTGTGTAAATCAAACAGTCTGATCGTTGATACCTCACTAGCTTTCATGTCTTCGTCGAATCTTAGGCACTATTCTTTAGAGCTGGCTTCAACTTAGACTTAGTACGAGCGAATTTCCTATCGCTCTTCATTAGTGCAGAATAATGGTAGGAACATCAAGAAGGGTTCTATGATATTAAAAGCCATACTTTGCCTCGCAAAATAAAAGAAACAAGCCAAAAGCTTTCACACTAGATTAATCAATGTCTCAGACTTTAGATATGGATAGCATTTCACTGTAATGCTTGATTAATAAGTAGTAATCTCCCGCAACAATTGCCTTCCCAATCAGAATGTGATTGTACCCTTGAGACTCTCAACAAACTCGAAAACATGTAGTAAAATCAGCAAGCGTGAAAACACTGCTACGCAGTTTTCCAGACTTTATTATTATGACTTTATTATTAACATTTATGAGCATTTGACATCTTTCAATTAAATGACTCCCTCTGTATTGCAGTAGCCAATTATTTTCAAATGCGGACACCTTTGGTAAAATGTATGCCATTGAATTTGTTCCGCACATATGAGACCTACGTCTACTGTTACTTTAGTTCACGAAAAATACTGTGGGTTGCGGAGAAGTTTGAAGTAAGATGTACATGCCAGGCGTAGTAGATGTCCTAATCTCAAGTCCGATACGTAAAAACGCTTTCATTAGGTTGACCCGAAAATGTAAGCATCATTCTTAAAAAGTTACAGCCTCTCACACTCGAAGCGTTTGCTTTCCTGGAATTTTGAACTCGTCTGAATAGATAATCATGCGCTTTACAAAAGCGTTTGAGGTACTTTTTAACTCGCAAATACAGCAGTGATAGAAGTCCACGAATAGAATCTGTAGAATTGTCAGAAATGTGAACCAGGACCCGGGCGAAGGTCTCAAATAGTCCTCTGTGAAGCGATTACGCCTTTGCCGCTTTGATCTCACGAATTTTCTTCTAATCGCACCAACTGCGCAGGCTATTCGATCAAAGTGCGTTTTTCTTACAAGGCGAGTCTCGTTTGATCTTTCGGAATCTAGCAAAGAGGTAAAGAGGAAGTTGCTTTGATAATCACTTAAGTGTCAGAATTCTTACATTACATACAAGAACTTCTGTACTGCAATCTGCAAGGTCTCAAAGTGTTAACCTCGACTCTGCATGAAGCAAAGCTGCATTCACTGGAGGATCGTGAAGTTCACACGTGAGTGCCTCTGTGCTGGCCAAGAAACAAAGCAGTAGGAGTGTAAAAAAGAGAGAAATTCATCGTTAGCTCTGGAACTTATAATATTAATGCACCTATTTGAATAAAGGCTGTACGAACATAGCAGAAAAAGAAAGGTCAACATTTCTGTTTTGCCTATCACATAATATTTCTCCTCAGCATTGTATAAGCGGCTGCAGAACAGGATTATGTTATGTTGATTGTAATGGCTTCTGCTGAGGGCTTACCTCCGTGGTCTATAGAAATATTTGTGGAAGGCAAGCTCTACAACATTTGAAGCGAGAAATCGAGAGCGTATGACCGACCAGACACACTTTCCTTTTATACGCTTACGAATAAAGTCCTGTATCAGCCATATGCAAGTACTTCTTTTAATCGCTTTTATGTAATCAGATTTGAAAAATTAGATGGAAAATTCCTTGACTGTTAATGTAACGAAAAAACTTATGTCGATCCTTGAACCAAGTCCGCAACTCGTGAAAAGTGTGTCCATTGCTTGTGACCAAATGTGTCGAATGGCAATTTTACGATGCTTTCGGAGTTTTCAGATGATTTTACCAATCGACATGGCGAAAGTCTTTGCTTCATCATATTATACAACAATCATCCCAGTTGCATCGCCATTAAATGGATTTTGCAACGCTTAAAGAATGGTATTTTTATGAAAATGATGCACAAGACATTTTTTACCGAAAAGTTAGCTGTGAAACGTTTTCCAAATAAAGTATCGTATATGCAAATACTTACTTCGCTCAAGGCTTGATGAATTAATGCCCAAAACACATTCCTCTCCGGAAATCGTGGCTTTTTTGATAACATGTTGTGAATTTCTGTCTAAACATGTAAATACAAGACCAAGCTATAATTATCAGCATGATGCTTGTGAACTCACACCAAAAACGGTAAATTTGGATTTTCTCTACAAAAGGGAGTACTAACTCCCTTTAGTACTCATAGTTTTCATTTCCAAGGCCCTTAGATCACATGCCTTTCTGTAGGCTTCATGATTCGGAACTTCATTCTGCTCATCTTTTCTGCATATAATATTTGGTTATGGCAAATGTTTCGTTAACGTCTTTCAGCCAGATTTTTAGCCGATTATGATTTCTGAAGTAAATCGTTGATTTGATGACAATTCTTTTATTCGTTAACGTCTTTCAGCTTGATATGATGACAATTCTTTTATCTACAGGAGCTAAGTGGCGTTTTTTAATGATGAAAAAACATAATTATCAAATCATCTGTTCAGTGTCATTAAGAATCATTTACAGCAAGCTCCTTAGCGATTGCTAATGGCATCGAAAATTTGCTTCAACGACGTCTTAGTCATTTTTGTTTCTCTACTGTACAGGACAAAGTATGGTGTGCTCCGACCCTTTGCTATCAATAAAATGCAGTAATCGCATTATTTGATTGTGCTCTTATAATCAGCCCCATGATCTCAATTTCCAAATAAAACAGTAAGCGCTAATTGCTGCAAAATCACTCAAATGCATAGATACAAGTTCTTAAAAATTGTGGATAGGCGATGTGTATTCTTTGCAATACGCAAGATGCAATTCGTGCTGTCTTATGTTTTGTGAGATCTTTTATGTTACATGAGTCTGTGTGCCTGCCACTTTACAAAAGGATGGCATACAGAAATCTTATTTCTGTAAATACGAAATTTAGTCGTTATGTTTTTACAAGCGGTAAGGTACAACAATGCACAAGGGAAGATGGGATGTATAAAATGTTGAAAGCATAAACGTAATTCCAAACCTGCCTTTCTTATCAGCAGAACGTTTATGGACTAGAAGTCATGGGCGTTTTCGGAGCCAAAAATTGAATGTGCATTTTGGTTAAAATGAGTTGCTAAAATCTTACTGAACTCCAGATACAATCAAGTGTGATGCATTTTTTTTATTTCACAGTATTTTCGCATAAAATGCTCTGATGATTATCACTGCTCCATTGAAGAGCTCATGTTGCACTGCTGTAATTTATAGTCAATCCTAAACTGAAAGCAAGATTTTGATTCATTCTAACGTATCATATCGCACTGTTGTGAGCTGTCAAGGCGATGTACGATTACAGTGGCATTTCCGGCTAAGTATGATAACTATTCAAGTACAGCATGAACATGAAAAAATTTGTTATTCAAAGTATAACGGCTTTTATTATTTGCAAGTATTATGAATAGGAACAGTACTCTGCGTTGATACCACTGCTT